GTTTACTTGTATTTGTGTACAGGCTAGTCTTGCCTGGTCCGATATGACAGTGATGTTGATATATTCCAGACATGCAGAAGCAGCCAATGGGACTGTCTATGTATAATATCTCTATGGTTTTTTTTTTTTTACACATTGTTACTCTTACATAGTAGGACTGCCTTCTCACATGTTTTCTTTATATACTAGCAGTCCTTTTAGTGGCTGTTTTAACTCAGCGATCTGCCATGTTCAAGGATTTTCTTCAAAGCATGTCTTTCAAAGCATATAGGGTTTGTGACAGAGCATAACTAGCATAGCTGAGTTGCATGGCTGTTATATTTTACACCTATAAACTTTGCATTGTGGGATTATTAGCAGGAGGTAACAGACATGGCATAGGCCCTACTTTTTTGTTGCGTGAAGGGACAAAAACTACAAATTGATTCAATGTGTATACTCAAAATTGTATCAGAAAGACACGTCAAAATGATGGAGCGTAATATAGTGGACAATTGTAATTGTAAAATTACCAATGTGCTTGTGGGAATGATACATTCAATAAGTTCAAATCAATCAAACAATCCTGATAAGAGACTAGCTGTGCCATCGCTGTGTAAGGGCAGTTTAAATTGCATGGTGATTTTTTTAATATTCATTGATTATGTAATAATTTACTGTATAACATTGCTTACTTTAGAGTCAGTGTTCTAGGAATCAGACTTAAACACGAATACAGACAGCTGGTGCTAACAGGTCCGACTGAATGCTGAGTGAATACTGATACCGCGTGTAACCTGCAGTGCACCATGGGAAGGATCCAGTCATCACATTCTCACCATTAGGACAATCTCTGTTTTCATCTTGAAAGACCCCCTCCATTCCTCTCATAGGGGCAAAATGAAAAATAACTATATTATAATCCAATCCCCCCCCCCCCNNAAACCCCCCCCCCCCTACTGTATTTATTGCAGCACTGTTAGATCACAGTGGACTCTAATATAGTCACCCGCTGTTTGAGTACCATAGGTCTAATGGAAGAGGCGTCAGATAATACTTCCACTGAATTTAAATTAGGCATTTTCAACAATATGTTCATATACAATCAAAACTGAGGTCTGAATTATTGAGAAAATATCAGAACTGGGCATTTAATTATCACTGAGGGGAACAACAGGTGTAATAATAAGTGATGAGACTGTGCAGACTCAGAGCTTTCTCATGCTCTCTTTACAGCCTTGTGTCTGGTAACAAGTAAAGACTGGTAAAATGTCAAATAAGAAAAACTGAATTCAATCAAGCTGCAAAATGAAGTAAAGTGACAAATTCCATAATCAACAAAATAAGCTGCTGTCCAAAAACCTAAGCAGATTAGTAAGGCCATGTGTGCGTCTGCTTGGGGCGAGAGAGAGAGAGAGCTCCAGTTTTCTTCCCATTCAAAATGTTCCACCTCTGTCTCTTCCCCTTGTTCATTTATTGGGAAACACACAGCTGATGGAGAAACACACTCTGCCTCTGGTGTGACAGCAGAGCGCACACTCACACTGAGGATACAGGGACCTTATTTTTCCTCACTTTAATCTACGGATAATTAGTGCTTTTTTTCTTCTTTCTTTAATACACCTGCTGCAGCATGAGCGCTGAATGCAGCAGCTACTACAGCGCTGACAGAGTGTTTGTGGACGGATTCTCCTGCCCCAGACCGGGAAACGCTGCCACTGCTGTGTACTGCTGCGGATTTAATGATGTGAAGTATTGCTGTGATGATCCCAACAGTTTTTTCCCGTATGAATACGGATACATGTGGTGGCTGAGGTAAGCGCAATTTCCATGTAGCACAAAGTGTTTGTTTGGGGTTTTTCTTATTGATAATAACCCCCCCCCTCATTATTTCATTGTTTATTTTGTCACTTATTTGAAATTCCGAATTAACAAACTAATCGCTGTGGTGCGAGGTGGTGGCAAGAGGTGCGTTTGGGTGATGTTAGGGGGTTGCAGAAATATATGCTGATTTAACCGCAAGCAATCAGATATATCAATATTTACTTGGAAAAGCCCCCAAATAAACATATCTTAACTCAAAAACATTCCATTGTTGTGGCACAAAACATTAAATAGATATATTTAAAGGTGCATTATAAATCAATGAATTGTTTTATTTCCAAATCTCCAGACATTTTCCGAAATACATGTTAAATGTAATAATTGTTTCAGCCTTTCACTTGGTCTAAAATGTGGCCCTAACAGAACATTAATTTATAGGTATTAATTTCCGTTATTTGTAAAAGGAATCAAAATTAGTATGTTAATTTGACAGTATTTGACACCAAGCTGGGGTAGCAGCTGAGTGGCAAGGCATTTTTTGGCCACCCCATGCCACCCCTATAGAACCGCCCCTGTCCCTGTGTGGCAAACATTCTTTGTTTAGATTTTTAACTATGTGGAAATATAGCACCTGCTTTGAACCTTGACTCACTTCTGCTGCTGGAGTCCTTTGTACTTAATACTTTAAGCCAGTGAGAAAGGTACAATTACACCATACACAATACGATTTATTTCATTTGTGGATGAAAAACAATTTTTAATTACTATTGTATTCATGTTTAAATGCTGTACCATTATGGGGAATATTCTATTTCATTAGTTTGATGCAATATCTCTCCTCATACCCTTTACTGCATTATTTATTTTTCAATCTTCCCTCTTTCAATATACTCTTTTCCACCTCTCCTCTCCTTTCAGTATCGGCGCTCTGGTTGGTCTGTCCATTGCTGCAGTGGTCCTCCTTGCCTTCCTCATCACTGTATGTGTCCTCTGCTACCTCTTCATTGCCACCAAACCCAGTCGTCTTGACAACGGCCTACCCCTCAGAGCACCAGGTAAGTGCATGTGGGCTCTCTGTGATAGACTATGATAATAGGAATTAGTTTCTTTCTGGAAGCTTTGAATTCAGAGAAAATTACTACAATTAGTAACATTTCTGGTTTTAAATTACCCACTTCTTTGCAATTCTCTATGTGCTTCTCAGCAGGAGATCCCAGTGTGGGATCCAGTCAAGTGAGAGCGACCTGTGCCACTGGTCCGCAGGGGTTCAGAAAACACTTCATGAGCAGGAAGCTGGACTGTGATAACCAGCCGCCAGACCCTGAGGTGCTGTTCCAGAGATGCTTCACAGCTAACGTCACCGGCGTGAAAGTGGAAAGTCCCTCATAGTTCTCGGTGATACTTTAAAAATGGGACCAGCTGTCCAAAGGGCAAGAGAACTGGTGAATCTAAAGGCAGACTTAGCTGCCAGGTGGATGCTATGACAGTAGCTGACATATTTGTGTGTGTGTGTGTGCAGGGGAGTTGTGGTGGTTGAGCGCAGTAAAAATTGTGTAATACTAACACCCAGAGAAAAAAAAGAAGCACTCTGAGGGCTGTATACCAAACTTAGCAAGCATGCACAATGAAGGCTCTAAAGCCTTAATGAATTTCTTCAAGCACAAAATTTCTCTCCTCCTCATGACTGCATAAGAAAGTATCTCACCACCAGGCAGCAGTAATTGAAAGTGTATGCATCATGTTGGAAGATAATGTTCATAATTGGTATCAAGAAAGCCAAAGACTCATTAACATTTGTTGAATCATTAAGGGATATGCTAGGGCAATTACTGAATGGGGAGAGGCTGGAGTGGTTATCCAGGATGTACAGTTTTATGTACGTCTAGGAAAGATGCTGAAGATGTGGTCCGGACTGTAAAGTCTGTAGCCACATCTGCTACATTTTACTCAGGGACTGAAGGAGGATCTACAGCGTGATGAGACTCTCCTCACCAGAAAAATGAGAGCGCTGGTTATTCGTTCAAATGCTTAAAATGATGTTTACGTTTTCATGACAAGACACTTCTAGTAATAATAAAAGTATTAAGGTTGGGCATGTATGATTTTGACACCAGAGGATGAGATCTGTCTCCTATCAAACGTCAAAGCTGATTTCTTTTAATTAAGACCATGATTAACTAGCCTATTTCTTAAAGTTTTTTGTTGTTGTTGTTGTTGCCATTTTTGCCTTTAAGTAATAGCAGACAGACAAAATGAAATGACCGTTTACAGCAAATGGTGAAACAAATTTTAGATTTGTTCTGTGATGGAGCTCTCAAAGAGTCTGAGTAGCAACAAGGATTCTGGTGAGACAACTAATCTCTCCTTAACAAACACATGCATGAACATTAAATCCTAATAAATGGTACAATACCAAAATCTTAAGCATAAGGAGGGTGATGCAGGGACCTGTGTCAGCAGATAACAGTGATGGGTACCATGTTATAATGGCCCGCTGTACAGCTGCATGAATATGATTGGATGGTACTAGTCAGCTGATAGATGCACAGCTGTGAATAATCCAGTGATTGTGAAGCATGAATGAAACAGCTGATACCAATCAGTCCTCTGCCTGAACTAATACTATGCATCATTTTACTTAAACTAACCAAGACGGCTGAGTTCGGACTGACTTTAACTCTGCATACAAATGAAATCAAACCCAGCCCCCTCATTCATTAGAATGAGCCTAATGAGTTGATGCAGAGGAAGTGCCAAAGCAGGGATCCTCCTGGTAGATGACTTTGTAACTAGAACACCATATTTTTATTGTTTACTTCATGTTTGTGGTGAAAAATGCAATTGCCGTCATGATCGTTTCTGAGTTGTAAAATCCTGTCTCAAGAGTATTATAAATCCCTGTACAGTGTTTGGGCGTTTGATAAAACTTCAAATTCACACATCTGCTACTCAAACTAGAATTCCTCATTTGTATTTCATAGCTTACCTTAAGCAACAAGCCCCCACCACTGCAGCATCTTGCATTGATTTAACATTGACATTATATATGGTGGTCAGAGCTTGTGGGTCTGTGAAGTGAGGCCAAAGCGGAAATGTCTTAAACAACTTGCATTCTTTCAGTGTGATTCCAAATTAACTTAAAGGAAAGCTTTATAAACACATTCACGTGTCTTTATATGTCCTTTTAATATGAGGCTTAGATAAGTGATCTTCAAAAGTTGTAGTCAACAAAATTCCGTCTTTGTGAATGGGAGGCGAATATTTGCCAATGTTTATTATGTGTGAATGTGACCTAAAGGAGAATTGGGCATTTATAAGACACTTAATTTGTCTCAGGCTTATGAAGCTTCATATTAATTACTGTTGACCGGAGAATGCAAGAACAAAGACTGCGCAAAAAAAGCAATTATGACACGAACCAGTGTACATACTGTAAGTTGTTTGTTACAGACCTAAAAAATGTGAAACTATCCTAACTTCTTATTTAGTCAAATGTACAGTACATTTGGATCACTATTTCACATCAATACACATTGCATAGTAAATGGCAGCATGACACTGTATAATGCAATGTCACTAAATGTTACACCAGCTGTTTGGCGTCTGTCTGAAGAGTTCTGATTGCTTTACATTGTTACTTAAGAGATCACAAAACTGCATTTCTTTGGACCCACTAACATACTATGGTTGGTATGTAGTCAGCTCCTTCTCAAAACTCTCAAGTGTCCTTGTTTTTAGCAATGGAGAATTGTTTTATGCAAAGTGTCATGTCTTGTATTCATGAGAAAGTTTTGCTTATAATTGTTTCTGTATGTGGAAAGTGACCTCAGTGTTTTAAACCTCAGTGTTTTGTTTCCGTCTGTTATATTCTCCGTTAAAATATATATTATTATAAGTTACTTTATAAAATGTTACGCAAATGTTTGGAGGAGTTTCTATTGTACTCACGCATTATGTTCATAAATTCTATTTCTAATTTGTAAATGTCAACGCCAGGCTGTGTGTGTGTAATCTGCTGCAGCATACATCAAAGAATAACAGAGGAAAACAAGACTGGGAGTTCAGTTTACTTTCTTATGTCTCCACATTTGATGGCAATGTTTTTCAAATGCACAGCAGGAATGTACATAGTGGTATATCCACACAGTTCTTGAAAGAGCATCAATAAAATCTGAATCAAAAGACAACCTGATTATTATGCAGTGATTCCACTGGTAGTCTAAACTGGCCAGATGTCATGTAGAAGAACAAACATAGCTCATATAATTTACATTGTGAACTCTAACAGGATATTGATGCACATACACTCAGATATGTGTTATCTACAAAGGAATATCAATGTGGAAACTGCTAAAAGTAAGATAATTATGACTTAAAGATTGATTATTACTCTTTCAATTGCAGCCATTATAGCAGTGTGTGGTACTGGCACTATTCTGAAAGGAATTCATCTCCTCATCGATTTATCTTAAAGTTTCTTGGCACAAACTTACGAGCAACTCCACTGCCAGTGCCAAGCTGACATTTGTTGTGTTTGTAGTAAACACATCCAGCTTCAAACTCTGATGATGAAGGCTTTTCCTATTTTTTCCCTTTGGTTTAAAGCCACTTTGTCAGCTGAAGAATTTGAGAGAAAAAGATGAGATGGGTCGGTGAGACTTAAAGTCAGACAGTTTGCTAAAGCTTTGGGTTCTTAATCTCTCTCTGGAATGAGGCAGAGCCTTGGAAAGCCAGCAAGAGCATTTCGGAAAATGTATGTGGTAAAAAAGACTGAGTGAAAAGGATGACAGTGACAACCAAATTGCTTTGATCATTGTAATAAGCATCAGACAATCATTTTCATGGCCTTATCTTCTTGTGTGAAAATAAAGGATTTAATACATGCATAATATAAATAACCCAATGCCTCCTCCCTCAATGAAGAGTTTTAGCACACTGCACTGGTTTATAAGCACCAAAGACATTTTTCTCCGCTTCAGGTCTACATAATGAGAAATGCTATAATGGATTCAAATTGGCTGGATCCTCTTTCTCAGTCTAACTGCACACTTATCTGCACACAGAGTGAGAAGTTTATTCCTGGAATAGTGAACAACTTGACTTGCAAAACCTCCATTAGCATCTATTTAGCTTCAAACTATGCAGAGACTTCTGTATATTAATAAGCCATGTGAATGTATTGGAGGGTTGATGAGAAGTAACTGTTAATTCAGAAAAGGCCAAGTGCAAAATGTGCACAATATGATGGCTGTATTCAACAGACCACTCAATCTGTTTGTTATTGGATTGAATGCCATATGAGCTTGTGTCAGTATGAGTCAGAATTGCCCATAATGACACAAATTGTATTTTGATTGCTTCCACTTTAGAACTGAAGGTCATCACTATTATTATGAATGAAAGGCTTTAAATAGATTCAAATACAATAGCCAAAACAATCTTAGAAACATATCGTAGTAGGTGGCATATTACAGATAGTGGACTGTGGTGAATAGATCAGTCATTCACAATTACCCATTTCAATAAGTCATTCAATCCCTGTCGCCACTGATGACTGATTAGCCTTATTTCAAAATATTTTCACCTTTCATGAAAGTATTTCAAATAAAACTCTAATATAATACAATGTAATAGGATCAAATGCATTCGACTGTGTATATGTGTCAAGAAAGATACGAGATGGATTGACTTAAACTTGACCGGAAAGTAACTATAAGTGAACTCAAGTACAACCTTCTATTATGTTTCCATATATGTAGAATTCCAGTTTAAATATGCACATTGGTGGCTACTGATTAAGACAGTATTCCATAAATATATTAAGCTTTTAAATTAGATTACTCTATTTTAAATTCTTTATGCTTTGCTTTAGTTGGCAGTGGTGAAACGAACTGTACCAACCCAGTAATATATTTTGAGATGAGTAATTATTGTACAATCACTAAATGAAAGTGTATGCTGGTTGGAGCTGATTAAAAAGAAAAAAGTTCCACAAAGAGAAAATTCTCGTTCATTCAAGATAAAAGGACTTCATGCCTAAGCTGATGCAAAGGAAGAAACAGTGCTAATTTAAGAGATTACTGTGTGCTTTAAGTACGTCCTTTTGAAGTCACTGCTTTCTCACACAAAAATGTCTTTTGGTTTGTGGCTCAGTGGCATCATCTTTTTAAAAATGATTTATTTTAAGACAGCAGAAAAGTAAATTAAGTAAACTGCAGCAAAAGCTGTTTTTCTGAGTTTTGTGTTCAAAGTAAATTTCCCAGTTATCCCTCGCAAAGCAGTGTCAGAAAAAAAAGACACTTGATGCTCTTCTGAAGTAGTTATTTTCACTGGGATTTGTTCTTGTCACACTTTTATTCACTACTGTGGCTCACTGTTCACTTCTATATAATAATCAGGAGGAGAGAACACAAATGTCTTTTGTCAAGTGGCATGTTTTTTTTGTACAAGATTAATACAGAAGCTGAGAACAGATGTGTTTGCCTCTTTAATGCCATTTTTAGATTTCACAATTCACAGGTTAATTATTTCGCTATCTTGAGAAACCAAAATAACGAGAAACCCCGTAATATATAATGTTTATCAGAGTTAAGAAGTGCCATGCCAACATGCAGGCATGGCGTATTATAAATATTAGTTCAACATCATGGACAGTGCATTGAGGAATGCCATGCAGAATGCCAGTTCATATTAATTTTCACATTGACCAACCAGAAAAAAGTGCATGAAAACCATCAGGACATTGCAAGGAGCTCCTTTAATAATTAATTGATCTCTGTGGAATGCATTTGTTTCACACACATGTGATAACAGTGCCACCGTCTGGCCTCAGAACACAGATGCAACAATTGTGATAATTTAGCCTCAGGCTTTCTTTGATTCATTATTGACCTCTATTTTGGAAGAGTAAATTGTGGAAAAAACATTGTTGCCTTGTTTTATAACCCATAACAAAAATACTGAATGTATATAAAAACGTGTTTGAAATAACTCTGAATTGAATACGGAGTGAAAAGGGAATTAGGAGAAGAAATGGGTGGTTGACCTAATAAAGTTACTTATTAACATCTCTGTCTTAGGGCATGATGCAGGAAGGGTGACATTATGTTCTGCAACCTTTGCCCAGCAAGACTTCCACAAGGAGCTGAAGAGGAAGACAAAAACAGCAGTTAAAAGTAAAGTCTAAGAGACAAACACCTGCTCTGTCAGTTATTTTGTACAGGTAAGTCATTTTAGATTTCAGTGTTTGTGTGTTTGTGTTGTTGTTGTAGTGCCTTATATGTACCAATATGTGTTCTTTGGGAATGTAGGTTACACAGTATTCGGTCTGCTGTAGTCATATGACCAGTGTTTGACTGAGACACTGCTACTGTGCTGGCCTGCATTCATTTTACCATTATCGCCTGTATCTACTGTTGCCTCAGATTACACATAGCCAAAATATACTGTATGGAAACACTGTGTCTACTGTCTGGATTGGGGATTATTATCCATAACATAAGTATGTTCATGCTGTTCAAAGTTAATTAGTAAGCATTTCAGGACTATTATCATGAACATTGCTCAAGACCTGGCAGGTCAACTCCCTAATATCATGTGACGGCTTCTGTGTGCATTTTTGTTCAGGTCAAATTGTTTATTAATAAATCATCATGTTTATTGGCTGGTTGAAGGCACCTGTTAGCTCATGGATTACACATTCATTAGATTTTTTATTTTTATTTGGAATGAACGATATCATTAGCTGATGATGATAAAAGCCTTTTATATTCTGCTCTGGAGGAGGTGTATTGCTGATATTGCATGGTTTTGATTCCCCAAAACAAAGGGTTACAATCATTGTGCATGTAAATAAAGTCTAATCATATCTTTGAAACCAAATGTGTGTAAAGATTAATCAATCAAATTCTATGAAAAAATAGAAAGGGTTAGGACAATTAAGAGGAATTTGGTCGATCAACTCTAAACATGCTTTAAGAATTCATATATATAATTATAATTTCATTTATGATCATATAATTCCTCTTATATTCAAGCGTCGGTTTTAAAGATTATTGATAGTTACAAGACACTAGTTTGTTGGCTATGAAATGTGAAAAATGTCATGAGTCATACATTAATGGATTGATTCCCATTTTCTTATAACAACACCTATATGAACATAAAGTTACTGGTAGCTGGAGTTGTTCCTTCTCTCTAAACTGGCTGCAAAAAAACCAACAACTTCTCATTTCTAAATATAATATGTGAGATGCAATAACAAAATCACATTCTTTGTGTAAACATAAAAAAACATCTTTATAAAGTTTAGCTAAAGCTTTGAGTTAGTCAAATTGTGTCTTCCAAAGGTATGGTCTAATTCCCCTCCTTGCATTTCCCTGCATAGTGTTTCCTCAGGATGGTAAAAAGGGAACCATTTTCAAAACCTAAGTATTTAAAATGCTGTGCCTCTCCCAAAACCCGCTCATGATCCTCAGCAGATGTAATCAGTTGATGATTTGCCTTCTTTAGGTTTCTTCCCTCAGGACACAGAGATGGGCCGGTGGAGCTGCAGCGTCTTCGTGGTGTTTTTGTTCTGTGGAGCTTTTATTAAAGAAGCACATCCAGCTACTATATCTGATGTTGGGGGACACAAAGGTGCTCAGAGAAACCTTCTGATGGAAGAAGATCACTTAAACAGTAACAGTACTGACATTCGAAGTGAGTAACACAGGACTCACTCTGTTGGGTATTTTACCATCATCCCTAACTATTTATGACCAGGTGTGTTTGAGGGACTTTGAACTTTATAACACTTCATTTACAGGAAACTGAATGCACTGGTGTGAACCTCACTGTATTTAAAGTTATTTTATTTTTTTCCTGCTCACTTCCTAGGGGCAGCAGACCCAGACGAGGGCTCAAAGTCTGTGACGTGGACCTATCTGGCTGCAGGACTGGGCACAGTCCTCACCATCTCACTCATCATTGTGATGGCTGTCAAGTTTCGCCTCTTCCATCGCTTCTTGGCCAGCTACAGACACTCCCTGCTCCAGGAGGCCGACGGGGTCAGCCAGTACGGCCAGGAGGAGGCGTCCTTCCCTAACAGCGTGATGGGTAGAATGGGAGTGGCTGGAGGGACTCCAAGAGGACTGGATGAAGATGATGATGGCTTCATTGAGGATAACTATATCCAGGCCAGTGAGAAAGACAGGGCAGAGAGAGAAAGAGAGGAGGATGGCGAGGAGGGGATAGAAGACAGCGACGATGATCTTCAGTTCACTATAGGGTGATTAGATAAAGGGAGACTTCATCGGAAACTGTCAGTTTACATCTCAGATTAAATGACACTATGGAGAAGATGTTGATTCTAAACCTTTCTGGCTTGTAACCCTTTAAAATGAATCATACTGCCTACCTGCAACCTCTTCACACACCATCACACCATGTCTATTAGGGGTTCCAACAGAGAGTGAGTTCCCCTCAAAAAGTCTCATATTGTTTCATTTAAACAATTGCTATAGACCAGAAAGGACAAAACTCTAAATATCACACAAAAAAGATTTTATTTGTTTGTCAGAATTGTGTTGAATTGAATAGTTTTTTCTTGTTCCATTTAATCATTTCGGGGCTTCCTGTTAGCCCTTGGAGGGGGCGTGACCCTTAGCTTGAAACCGTTGAAAGTGCACAGTAGATAAACGTATGATAAATGTAAAAAATTAATGAGGCACAGTTTTATATCCAAACCTGGACTAACATTTAGGATGATCTACTGGCATAAATGTAATATAATCTTCATAGTTGTGTTTTCATTGGTGTATAATCAACTACATATAGGAATCGATGAGTTTTCGTTACCTTAGAATGAGCCATTTTTATCTACAGCCGGACAAACCAAACATTGAAACAGTATGTACACTTCACTTCCTAAATCCTGCACACTTTTTGCACAAATTATTTGAGTGCAGTATAACAGTTGTGAGCACATTGTCATGGTTTGGGATTTTCTTTGTTGGTTTCCTGTTTTATTTTGTAATGTTCCTTCTCTTGTGTCTTTTTTTGCTTCACTTCCTGTCTTTGTCTGTTTTCCCTCCAGTTTTGATTGTTTGCCCTGCCTTGATTATTATCACCTGTGTCTTGTCATCCCTCCCCTCACCTGTGTATTGAGTCTTTGTGTTTTGTTGGTTCTGTGTCAGTACCCCATGGATACTCTGCTCTTGCTGTTTTCCCTATCTGTTCTTGGTTGTTTTTCCTCATAGCTTTTTCTAGAATTATATCAGTTCCCTGTGTGCCTACCTGTTATTGCACCAGCCTGTAAGTTTTCTTCAATAAATCACTGAAGTTATTCTGCTGCCTGGCCTATCTTGCGTTTGGCTCCAACCCTGATATTTTTCTAGTTGTAACCAACATCCCATCATATACTTAGGCTGGGTGCACGATGTCAGATTCATTGAAGGAAAAAGTGTTATCTGCACCTTGCTGATGTCATGTTTGCCTACAGTATATATACTTTGCACTTTTCCCAAAGGAGATCCAGTAAGTTGAAATGTTGCCAGACAGATTATCATACAATATAATAAAAGGAATGTGTTGTGTCTGTATATATCCATCTATAAGTTGTTGCTAATGAAAAATGTTGATGGCATCATTTGAGTAAGTAAAGTATTTACATTCAAGTTATGCTGGTTGGTTGATTTATAATTTGGCTGTGAATCAACAACAAAGAATGAATGAAACAACTTGACACTTCATTGTCTTTATGTAGTCTGAATGTAAAGAAAGTTACAGGTTTCATCTTAGAAGTGCCCAGTGTGTGCGAAAGGCAGGAACTTGAGTGTGTTCATGTAAGATAGCAAAAGACATTTTAAAGCATTTGTACGTATAGTCTGAAATAATTTTTATTAGAAATGTACTTCAAATATCATATCCATTCTTTCATTTACATTGCTAACCTTCTAATATGAGTCAGTGAAAACAAATCTTATGAATACAGAAAAAATGCAACAGAGTAATGTTTTGATTTGATATGACTTACAGTACTGAGTCTGTAACAAATACTCAGTTGTATGAAAATGGTGCATCCAGCTAGTAAAAAATGCAGAAGGATTACTGATCCATCAGCTGTTTTGTTACAACCTTTCTCTCAGTGATTTCACCCATTTAGTCCATTCAGATCAGGCTGGTCCTGCTGGAGGATGTCTCTCTCCTGGCCTGGCTCGTCTGTCCTCCTGACACACTGAACACCCTGACAGCTCGGCTGCCCAACCTCCTCACTCTGCTCATTCTCATCATCATCATCCTCCTCTGCTCCCTTCTTCTTTTAAGGTAGATTAGCACACTGTAGCCCACCACAGCTAGAGCCATGCCTGTCCCAGCAGCCATCAGCACCATACTAGACACCAACATTTCCCTGCTGTCATGACCTTGGTTGCCAATTGTGGCTACGCAGAGAAGCACTGTCCCACAGAGCATCACTGCCAGCCCCACAGCTAAGATCAGCGCTGGGTCAGCCCTCCCGCCGCTCTTCAGCTGGTCGATCCGACGTCGGCTGTGCACACAGTTCATGTCCTGTATGGCAGAGCTGAGAAGCTGCTTGAGCAAAACAGCCAGGGCTAATAAGCAGAGGGTCGTACCCACCCCAAGGCGCCACTCGCCAGACAGGCTGGTGGTGGTGGAGGAGAGGAGGCCCACGCCACCCAGCCCCAGCCCCACTATGAGGGCCACTGAGGCACAGTAACACAAAAGGGAATGGCGTGGCTCTCTGAACCACCAAAGCTCCACTTGATCTTCCAGGACGCGTCGCTGCATCAGGGTCGGGTCCAGGTAGAGATCTGAAGGGTGATTGATGGTGTGGCGGGGCTGGTAGAACGTCTGCATCTCGGGTGTGGCAGTGGTCAACCACCTTGTAAGATTGTGCTGTATTTCAAGTCAATGATCAAAATACAACCGTATAAAAGTGTTCAGCAACATGATTTTAACAGTAACTCTTCTATTTACAACAACCACTATGGTAACCGTATTGAAAATCCTGGGCTTCAGCTAAACTTCTTCCCATCACACAACCTTAGTCAAAGCATTACAATGGTTAGTTTGGAAGATCAGTTACTTGGTCTTGTCCGTGTTTCCGTTTCGAATAAATGATGTTCCACGTAAAAATAATCTAGTTTCCAGGAGAATCTTCCAACAGTTAAGTTGTAAATTTCATTTGCTCAAGCTGCTTTCAACTCTTCTCAGTATCCTGACTTCACGCTGGAGGCAGAAAAACTGCAAGGACCAATCTGTAGAGACGCAGGCACTTCCACTGTGTAATACTCACTGCAAGTAGAGAAATCATGGTGATGTTGACATCCTGGCTGGGGGCTGTATACGTAGCCCGTCCACATGTTTGTCACGATCACCACAGAGACTGTACTAGTGTCACAGATTGATAATCTTTGCCCTCTTCACATTCTCTACCCCAGTGCCAGGCAGACCAGAGGACCCCCCTCCTCCTCCGCTCATCACAGGGGAACACCATCTTGTCTGGTTAAGTGGGGAAAAAGACGGGTCACAATGGCGGTGTTGGATCATGGTTTGGACAGAGATTGGCGACATTGTCCACCAAGCCCGCACACAGACAATGGGCTGACCGGTGAACACAATGACTGTGCTGCAGGAGGCGGGCGGTGGTGTGTGTGAGCCGTGGAGGGGTGTTGCATTGCTGTTGTGGAGGGCTGAGTGATGTCAGCGTGTACTGATAATGGTGTTTCTGTGATCCTAAGGATAGCGTCATTCACACACTATTCTGAGATTCTTAGATAGCCCACAGTGAGTGGGACACTTGAGCCTGCTGATCTGTCTTTTCCAGTAATACACTTGCATAGCTGAAAATATGTACTCAAAACATTTTGCTTTGAATTTTAAGGATTATACTTGGACATTCTGGGAAATACACTTTTTTTGCTTTGAGATTTAGATGAGAAGATTGATACCACTTTGTATCTGCCTATTAAATATAACATGACTTATCTTATTAGTTTAATTCATATAGAAACATGTAAAAATGAGATGTCGTTTTATAAGTGGCTATGTGCCTGAATATTTCTCCGCCCCCACCATAAACTCTGCCCAGGCAGCCAAGAGATAACTGAGAGATGTATTAATTAGTGAGCTTTAGATGTGCTTTTTAGCTTTGGGCACAGCAATGCTATCCATTTCTCCCCATTTCCTCTTTTTGCTAAGCTAATCACTTTGCGGCTGTAACTTCATGTTTAACAGACAGATTTTGTGAGTGTAATCTAACTCTTGCAAAAGAAAAAATAAGTGTAACAAAAATGTCATTAGTTTATTTTACATTATCTGCAGTATAACTGTTATATTTACATTACCTTCCCCAGAATGATGGCATCTGAGACGCTAGTGCACTTTTGGATTGTTTGTGAGCAATCTTCAACTGTAGCTGTTCAATAGGCTTTTCTTACAGTGGACAGTCAGACTTGTCAAACACATGTGTAACTGCTATAATTACAGTAATGATGGCTGCATTCCATTTAGTTTTTTCAGTACCAGGGCCTTGCTATCATACTTGCTTGCTTGGACAGTGGAATGGAGCTATTTTAAGTGTAAGTACACCTAACAAATCTTCTAGCAAATGTAAAAAAAATGCATCAGAGACCTGCAAAGGCCAGCCACGACACTGGACTGACTGACAGACTGGCAGGAACAGTAGGCTGGAGTACCAGCTATAAGCAGCTGCTGACCGACTCTCCGTATCTGCACTGGAAACACACAGAGCTTTTACAGTCAGGTGTGAGTGTGCAGCAAAAACTCTGAATGATGTCTCTCGATCAGCATACATTTGAAAATGAGCACAGAGGTTTCACAGACAAAGCGGAGTCTGGGAGAGGTGGGTTTGCCCTCCTCTGATTAGAGATCATTAACACTACTTACTTGTATAAATGTTGGGATGTAAAGTAGTCCCAAATGGTCGACTCTCTCAGCATTGGCCTTGCAAGGTTCAGGGTGATTTAAAACAGAGGAGAGGGATGTAGAGATGTTACGCACATGCATATCTAATCCTTAGGCTTTGCACCTTCCCGGTTAAAAGTTAACTGAATGACCTAAAAAAGCTACAGCAACTACTTCTGTAACATTATAAACAAGAGTGGTGCTGCAATCTGGACAAAATGATTCAAATTAGCAAATTGGTTTGTAATTTCCAGTGACAGAATGTAATCAAGAAAAAGACAGATGCAGAGCCACAATATATCCCTCAATCTGAAACTCCTTGTTCAGGTCCAACATTGTGACAAGTTACAAGTGGCAAATGACAGGAAATGGCAATGAAGAAACTCCGTAGTGTGTCCATACTGTTGTACAGTGCTATACTAGAAAAGTCACTTTGTTACATAACTTTTCAACAGTGGTGATGTGCTGATGCTGAGCCACTTGGTGTCTTTTTATTTATTTTGCAAATGCAGAGGGGCAAACCAGTGAAGGCCACCTTGATGAAGGAGTGGGGCCAGAGCTCAAAATGCACTTACTCCCCCTAGTGGACAATATCACTGTGCAATTAAGCCATTGAAACTTTGAGTCTTTGAATATCAAAGTACTTCAACAAAGAAGTGTATTTAAATTACACTTTATCGTCACGAGGAAAAGAAGGGAGACAGGAGGATAAAATATATGAACACATAAAGGAATGGAAGGCTGATGGATGGATAAATGGAAATTATTGCACTCACTTATTATACAGCATGTTATTTCATCGCTTTGAACAAAGTGCTACCTACAGTTGGTCCTTGACAGCCATTATCAGAGATGGAGATGTAATTGCTGCCTTTCTATCTGATTGTTCAAACACATTCTATTGGAGAACGATGATTTTAAACCGTCAATTTCATCCAGGCAGTTTCATTTGAATGGTTCCTAAAGGACTTAATTTCTTGCAATGACCAGAATTAGTATTGAGTACTGAGACGGGGTTGACTTGACGGGTGCCGGTTGATCTATATCCAGTTAATTATTTTGTTTAAGTCAGAGTACCTTTTATAGTAGAAGAAAATATGAATGTGAATCCAGAGGAGACACTCACTGGTCCGCCACCAGGAAATCTGATTCATTCACAAGGTGGAAACAAATTACTCATGGTACATTAATACTGTATTGTCACTCAAATCAGGACACAAGGTGGAGCATATTAGTTTAGAATAATTATTATTGATTACTATTATTAGTAGATCAAGTTGCTAGGTAACTCTAGCTGTGCTTTTACTGTAGACTCTTTCTTTCTCCATGCTACAAAATACAATGTCTGTTTGTTATGAATACTGCCCTTGTAAAAAATTTGTTAATTTTCCCAAAAATTAAATAAAATACAACAATATTTGAAGATTTTTTTTGACAGGTTATTATGTATTTGGCATCTTGCAGAACAGCTGTTAAATGTGTATGTTTAACAGTTTGTTAGCCTTGTGTTTAAACAGCCTGTCATTTGTCGGTTGCCTTCTGGGAGAGATTCCAATGCAACAGGCTAACTGGATGTAGAAAACTGATATGTAATTAAACTACATATTTTGAGTTCCTGATAAAAAAATATACCATTCTGGTTTTTATTCATTTCTCAAACTGGCTACAATTCTGGCATGATATATAGAGTGTCCATAGGTGTTTGGACAGTGACATATTTTTGCATTCACTGTACAATTTTCTACTGTCACTGTAAGTAGGACTATTTCTTTAAAAAGGGCCACAATGCCCACAGTGACCCTCAAACCTCCTTAAATTATGAAAAATGCGACCTCATAGCCAGTGTTTCAGTGAATATAACGAGTCACATCAGTAGAAAATGTCTCACACATAGCGACTGTACTATTCGTAAACACTTCTTAAAAAGACAGTGTCAGACAAGGCCATATGTTTTTGGTAAAACAATATTTACTCTTTACATACATTACATATGTTTATGTTTTTTCATAAATTCAACTTTCCCATTTACTTTAATAATTCATCAACAGTACAGTTATACAGTATCTGTATTCTTTTGTAAAATGTAGTGGTATTGTTGCCAAAGATCAACCTGTAGAGGGCAGCAGCCTCCAAGTTTGGACAGCAGCCGACAGGATGCCCATATAATAATACTGTAGATGCAGTGGTCGAATTATTCAGATCTTTTACTTAATTAAAAGCAATCTCACAATGTAATAATAGACCATTGCAAGTAAAAGTCTTAAAAACGTAAAAGTAATAACATCTAAATGAATTTCAAGTATTAAAAGTAAAAGTAATTTTCATTTATGTAACTATTTGAGGTGGAGCTAATTTTAATTACTTTATATCCTGATTGGTAGTTTAATCTATGACAATGCATCATATTTTATGAGCTGCTCATATGTTTTGTATGATAATATGCAAAATAAGTAGTAAATCTGTCAAATGAATGTAGTGAAGTAAAAATGACTATCTCTGAAATGTAGTGAAATACCCAAGTAAAGTACAAGTAAAACACTTGAGTAAATGTACTGTTTTGACATTTCACTGCTTCCTGCATTATCAGATGGTTGCCGACACAGAGCCTCAAAGTGGCGGTGTAGGGTCCTGTGGTCACCAAGGACCCTCAAAATCCTCTGTTTATTTGATCGGTGTATATTGTACAAAATATATTATATATATTATTATTTATATTTAAATAACCAAACATCTTTCAATATCACTTAAGAAGAACATCCTTCAAGTTTTTACATATTTAGCTTTAAGCTGTGCTGGGTGTGTGGAGGAGGGATATAATTTCTACTTAAAGTCTTAAAAAAGTGTTTGTTGGTTATGGTTAAGATTTAAGTAGGGGGCTGTAGGAGTGTTCAGCAGAGACAGCGGTCTCCACAAACCTGCAACACTATGCTGTCTGACAAACTGGGGTCCAAGAATGTGCCGCCGAGAGATTTGTGTGAACAGTTTATCATTCTGGCCCAAAACCCCTGCAGCTGATTTCACTGACAGGTGCAACATCATCCAGAGAGGATGAACTAATCTCACGGTTGCAGACCACTGGGTTAGACAAACAGGGCTTGTGACCAGAGCATCGCTGTCCCAGTTTCTCCTCCACCAGCTGGTGAATAGTGGGACGAAATGTGTCTCTCTTGTCTCTCAACAGCAGCTGTTGAGGTGTACTAAAACTTAGTTGCTTAAGTGCTCACATGCCGTCATTGGATACACTGTAACTGAACCGTGAAGCCTGTCGATGCCAGCTTCTGCAGCTGTGTGAACGCAGAGCAGAGAACGGCTGGAAAAAACAGCATGCACGCTCAGCAAAATGTCCCCTAAAGGTTAATTAAATAAGAAATGTGGCCCGAGTAGAAGTCACACTATTTACTGAAATGCTGTTCACATGCAACTGCACATTTCCACGACTGGTGTGACTGTGTGCGAGCATGATGGAAGCCTCTCTTGAATCCACAATGTTGAGAAAATGTGGCACATCATCCAGACCAGCTGCTGTGACAAATGGAAAGGATCTGCTGCCAGTTTTTGAGGCCCAGGTGACAACAGGTGAAACGGACAAACCTTACCAATCTACTACTCTACCAATCTACTCCCCACAAATTATGATCCCTTGCATGGATGTAGTTTAACCAGATGTCCCTCAGGCAGACAGAGAGTGACTTCATCTCAGTAACAGCAATGATCTGTAGGCAGACTGTCAAAAAGCTTCAGTGATGATGAATTTTGATGTGGCATGTGCTGTACAGAATAAGGTGGTAACTGTTTTACACTATACATCTGCAGCATATCAATTTATTATAAGTAGATCGTTATTGCAATACATGTAACACACACCTCTTCTCAGCAGTAAAGTCAGCTCTTCAACAACTGCTACATGGGAAATACTGGGTATTGAATAATAATGGCACTCGTCAGCTCCAGAGGAAGACTCTACTGACTTCGGTGATCTGCTGACTTTTCCTCCACCGTCGGGATGACAGGTGGTTTTGAGTGATATCTCAATATATAACTATTTGACGGATTGCCATTACCTGCTAAACATTAGGGTGTTAGCATACTGACACTGTTATTTAGCTTAAAGCATCACAAAGCGTGGCTGTCTGGTTATTGCATTTTTGCTTGAAATAAATGTATACGTCTGTTGTTTTCTCAATTCTTGAATGTCTTTAGAGGGTAAAAGCTTTCAACCTACAGAAACTTTGCTAACTTTTTTCTTTTTGGCTTTCTTTCAGATACTGTTTGCAGTAGTGGCTTGTACTGTTACGGCAGGGGAAAAACGAGGGCAGCTCCCTGGTTTAGAGGCATACAAGTCACAGGATGTTTGACTGTGGACAGAGGCCAGAGAACCATGGCCTGTGATAGGCATTCAAAATCTGTTCTCCAGTATGTATAAAGTTTTTATACATTTCAGTTAAATGACATTCTCTCAATCTCAGAAATACGCTGCATCCTGCTTAATCCTCAGTGTGCTAAAAGCCTTTTCATTTAGTCATGACTCACTCCTCACAGCAAATTGACTGTAAATTCAATTTAGTCCATGTTATCTCTGATGGGTGAGAATCAGATTTGCAACTAAACCAGAAACATTTTGTGTGCTACATCAACCACTTACATTTTGACTTGAGCAAGCCAGAAGTGCACAAATCATAACAAATACTGTACTTTACATGTTATAATTATCTTCCAAAGTACAAAACCTACTACATGTGAGCTATTTTTATGAGGAGCCGGTTCTGTGCATGTTATATAATAAGCCTACTGCATGATGGCTATCAAATTAAAACTAAAAACTCATTACTTTTGTGATTCCCAAGTCATTTTCCTGACAACTTGCAGTATTGAGGGTTATATCTATATTTTCCAGTATGGCTAAACATCCTGGTCACAGCTCAGAATCAGAATTTGTTACGGCCAGGGCTGGAACGAGCTAATATCACATTGGCTGATACACACACTTATTTTCAGACAATAATTCCTGTAACAGATTTGAACACCTGTTCAACAACCACTTTCAGTCTGCTCCTGCTGCCTCATTCTTGTTGGATGGTTTCCGTGAAACCATGACAACAAGCCCCAGCTATCATGATTTTCTCCTCAGTACCATGACTTTATTGGCTGTGAATACAATTGTTTGTGCAAATATGTGCAATCTGTGTATTTACTATATGTTGAGGTTGGGAGGGGGATTAAGTTATCCTTCAGCTTATCTCCATCTGAATGACTGATTATGCTGTCAGCAATGGTTGTGGCCTACATTTGAAAGACAGCCTCGTTTGCTCTGGCTGGGAGCAACTAGACCTTGTAAATACTACTGATGCACTTTTATCTGCAGACGAGTATTACCTCATTGTGTTTAGTAAGAGCAATAACGCTGCAGTTTGGTTAATGAAAGTGGTACAGGGGGCCTTTTCCTGTTGCTGCTGCCTCTGAGAAACTGTATAGCCTGCGGTTCACCTTAGCGTTCGCATAATTTGCATATAGATGAGAATCATATCACATTATTGCATTGGGGGTATATTAATAATGGGGTTGTTGAACAGGATAAGGTAGTGTACAACAGACTTGTGTAGATGCAGAAACAGGTGGAGCCCAGAGCAGCGGTTTCTGCCTTACTGACTTCTTAACTTTCTGCTTTGCATCAGCCATACTTTCTTTCTTTCTCTTGTTTATACTTAAGAATTTGTTGCCTGCGCCAATCCACTGTCACATTTCTGAGTAAGCTTCTAGATAGCTACTTCACAAAGGGTCTAAATTATTCCCCCCACCCAAACTGAACACAAAAACACCACAGGGACACAAAATTGTTGGACCTCCTGATCCCCTCCTATCTGCTCTCGCTAGTCCCCACCACTGTAGCACTATTACAGGTCTGCCATGCTCTTAAATTGATTTCACTGGCTCAGTGGGTGTGACATGGACAGCCCAAGGACCCTCACTCACACACACGTATACCTGTATATACACACAGTCGTACTTTGTTGATTAGTATTAGTAGTACACTCAATAAAAAAGAGGTAAGAGCTGGGCTGTCTGAATAAACACTGTGTCAAAGTGCATCTCTTTGATGTTGAATTTCTTAGTTATTTCACTTAACCTAGCAGTGGCCTGCATGTTATTTTTCCTGATCTCTAGCCAGGCAGCTCCACCATGAAGACAGCCCACAGATGAGTGTTTACAGTAGAGCCTCAATAAAACTTCTAATCTTGCTAACAGTGTATTTTTTTAAAAGCAGTGCAAGCTTGGGTAGGCAGGACAAATTTCCACAAAGCAGTCAACCTAACCATCCCAAATCTACTAGGTGGTACCAAAAAAAGAAAAAAATATTTTGGATTATAGCAAACATTTGTTGTTATTTTGTCCATACTGGTTGTTATGGAAAAGCTGCATGTGTTGCTATGATAGGATGGCTAGCTATTAAATCTTAATACTGTTTTTGTTTTCATCATTTTGTGTTAGAGATGACAACGTGTTGTTTCAGGTCTTCACCATCATCAGGTTGTATAAGTTACTCTATGTTAGCTTTTATAATATAAGTCCCTACAAACAAACAGGTTTTTCACTCTAGACGTATTGACATTTCACAGTAGGACAAAGGTGGTAATAATAAAATTAATGATGGCTGAATTCCATTTCTGTTTCAGGGTCTGGGGCCATTGTTAATGTTATTAAAACACCTGTGGTTTTCATCCTGTGACAAGTCAAAAGGCCTGCAGTGAAAAAGGCCTGTGTGTGGTGTACAACCTGATTGACAGCTCCCTCACTCTCCTCTTAGTTTTGTTGCACCTGCTGAGGCAAATTACACATTTTTAGTTAGTAGTTATTTTGGTGACCAGCCGAATAATTGATTAATAATTGAAAACACCTGTATGATGTGGGTTTTGCAGTAATATACAAAATGTGTTACAATTTAAGAATTTGTGTTAATATTTAAGGATTTGATTTAAGTAGTGAATTAAAAGAGACAAAGATATCACAATGTCAGGTTAGTTTTATATATTTCTGTTAAATTAATATAACACAATACTGTTATTGACTTATTTTAACTTACTTGCAGATTGCAAACAACTGAATTCTACTTGGTCTCGGTCTGTAGATAGAAATGGCTCATTCTGAGGTAACGAAAACACAGTTCTTATTTTCAGGTGATCATACTAAATAAAAATACTCATACTAATACTAATATATTATATACTATACTAAGCCTGTTCACCGTGCTGGGGGAGGTGCAGATAGCTGCTTCTTCCCTCAGGCAGTGAGGCTGTTGAACAACAATTCTTGTTAAACATTATGCAAATTAATAATAATTCTTATTTTTATGATTTTTTTAAGACTCCCTGACCTGTTGTTTTTTTTTATTGCGAGGTAACATAAAGGAAACTAAATTTCACTCTTCAACCTTGGTGTTAATGACAATAACATATCCTTGAATCCTTGAATATTATGTTGCATTTCTGCAAATAGATCCTCCTAAATGTTACACACTGGACCTTTTATACATGGGTCAAATCAGCCCAGCACATGTTCTCTGCCATAGCGACCCAGCACTTGTATGGTATTTGTAGTTCTTTTGTTTCTATATTCTATTATATTTTGGAGATAGAAAAAGTAGCTGAATATAAAATATGAAATCCAGGCTGCTGTTTCCAATGTCGAGGATACATTTTCAGTGTTATAATAACAGAACAGAATATTAAAACATCATCATTTTAAGGAGAGTAACAAATACTACAACTATTCTACCAATATTTCTCTTCTCCCCGCCCCACGCGCTGCCGTCACGCTCCAGGCAGCCAGTGAGGCGGAGGGAGGGAGGGGGTGTTTCACGGCGGAGGAGAGGCAGGCAGCACCGTCGCAGCAGCGTTTACAACAAGAGCGGCTCTCGGGCTTTGTTTTGTGGACGTGAATGAGCTCCATCACCTCCTTCAGAAATGTGGACGGATATAAGGACGTTGTTACTTTTTCAGTCGTTAGTCCTGAGGCTTCATTTCTCGGAAGGTCAGTAGTGTTTGGTTTTTTTTATCTCCTCCTGCGTGTGAGAAGATAGTGAAATAAAATATATAAACCGTAGTGTGTGTGTGTGTGTGACGCGCTGTGGAGGTGAGCTGCCGGTACCCAGCGCGCGCGAGCTCTTGATACCAAGAGAGAAGAAAAAATAGAAATAGTTTTCTCGTATTTAATGTTACCGTGTGATAGCTCGCCCGTTTAATGCTGTTTAATAAGTGACCGCTTCAGTGTGGGAGAAGCCCTGGCGTGTCTGTCATGTGTTCCCCGGGACTGCGAGCATCCATACTGCACCCGCGGTATAGTAGCTGTAGTAGCCGCACACTGAAGCTTTGTCTTCACGCTGTGGAGAATTAATGTCCGGCAGACACGGGGCCTCCTGTTCCCCTCTCTCTTCACACAACAGTTTCCAATCATCTTGGTTAAAGTGGAGTGAAAGAAAACACAGGAGCATGACGCTGCCGGCGCCTCAGCCAATTGACCTGAATGAATGCTGAATATCAATTAGGCATTCATTTGCAAATGACAGTTGAACTAGAAGCGTTTGTTGCTCTGATCCATCTGGACGCTGTTCTCCCCACTCCTGTTTGTTTTTGTTGTTTGTTTGTTTTTTTTCCTCCAGCAACGGATGAGTGTGAGGATGGACAGTTCCAGTGCAACAACAAAAGGTGTATACCGATCATCTGGAGGTGCGACGACGATGACGACTGCTCAGACAACAGTGATGAAGAAAACTGCCGTAAGTGTTACAATCAGAGGAGAACCGTGGGCTGTTAACTGTGGGAACGATCTGTGGTGGTTAAGATGTAACGCAAATGTCATAATACATAGGAATAACCTGTTACAGCAATATTAAAGTAGCATAAAATAATGAAAACATTGAATTATTAGGTCATAACTCCTCCCCTTCCTCCCCTTCCCACCCAGAACAATGTGTGAAAATGTGCACTAAACCATAAAAGCATCTCATTGTATTCTTAAGCTCTTAGATAGTCCGTTGAATACTTTCTTTTATCTATAAAAAATGTTCCAAAAGTTAAAAAACTAATTAGATTCATATGATTAATATCATCAAGAGACAATACCTGGAACTGCTCCCATCAGCTATCCATTAGAGCATGACTTAATGGTCTGTTCATGACTGGAATGTGTATCCAAGCTCTTCTATATTAATGAGCTGAAACAGTTATGAACCCGAAAATGCACCCATATCCCCCCTAGGTCTCTGTCCTCTCATAATTTCTTATTATTTTTACGGTGTATTTGCTATTCTATTAGCATTTTATCTTTTCTTTTCAGTGCCTTATATTCAGGGACACATAAAAGCTTCCAGAGTTTACCAAGAGGCACAAATAAAATCATGTTCTGAGTGGGGATTAGCCGTGTGTGTGTGTGTGTGCCTCAGGCCCCGAGTGTGTGCAGGTGATTTCACCACTACAACACCTATATATAGAAACCTCAGGAAACATGTTTATTTATTTTTAAATGCGGGTTAATTGGGTGAAACCATTTTCCAATCATATTTCAAATAAGAAGCTGTCCAGCTGAGAGAGGGATTGAACGGTGCCGCGGTCTACTGCACAAACCTCTGACAGGTATCTTGGACGTGTTGTTCAGCACGGAAATAATAGAATTCCAGTTTCCTCGCTGACTGCAAGCCAGTGGCCTATATTTTGGAAGAATGCTCGCGCTGAGACCAGTGAAGTTGTGCCAAAGCTGAATCCAAGCCCTGCATGTTTGCCATACAGCTACGTTCTTTTGTGTCTGGGTTAATTGTGGCTCGGGAGAAATTCCTGCACCTCCCCACACATGCATACATACATGCTCTGTATTTCTCTTCTTTCTCCCACAAACTCCCACACACACAGACCTGTTGTATACAACCACCTCGCGGTTGCTCCGTGCTTGGAGGTGTTGCCATTGTTACCCCGCCTCTGAGACCAGCAGGATGAGTCCTCGGGCATGCCAAAGAGAGCCGGGCATTGGGAGAATCTTTGCTCCTAAAACATTAATGTGTCACTGCTTCCCACACACACACACACACACACACACTCAAGGCGGTGATGTTTGGAAAAACATTATTACTCTGTCAGGCTGTATTTCCTCCGTATTTTCTTTTATGAATGAAAAAGGAAATTGTCACTGAGGTTTTATTACCCCGTGTGTGTTTTCCATCAGGCTGAGCTTCTGACACATTTAGGGTTTGATTGAAAACACTCCTCCTGAAAGCCTACTACTGTCAACCTGTCATTTAATGATTATAACAGCCCAGGAACTTGCTATTATATTAGAGAGTGGCCTTGATTCTGTGTCCATTGCCTTTTCTTTGTGTGTCTTGCTGCATCTGCGTGGGCAGGCGGATGAGGCTGGTTGGCCTGCGCAGAGTCAGATTTGTCTCTGCACTGGCATCCTCATTGTGTTGGCTAGTGGAATTATTTGTTTAACTTTTACCCTGTTTGATGTGGAGGAGAGGTTCCCTGGCACAATGTGCAGCACTGGCGATATGAAATGAATGTGTTACAATTAAAATCGTTCTTCTGCAAACTCTTTTTCTATTTCTTTAGAGGGACAGGCAGTGAAGTGTAAACCTGCACAACATATGCTGCACAGGGGCGAGAGTTCGGAGAGGATTTAGCTTGTACATACAGAAAATCCCGTGCGGGAATTTCACAGTTAGTTTCTTGTTGAATATAAAGCGGTTGCATTTTTAAATTAAAGTTTCTGAGTGGTTGAACGGATGGTCTCACTTTGTATTCTATTTGTATTCCAATATATGTATTTACAGCACAATGCCAAGCCCAAGAATCCAGTGACTGAATGTGTGCAACCGACCATGCTTATGAAATACGCTGACAGGAAGAAACCTTTGCCGCAGCTACTTATTTGTCATGCCAGCGTCACCTTATTTCTAACCTGACTGGCACTTGTAGCTGTACCACACAGAACAGGTGTAACGCTCCTAAAACACTGTTACTGCTCATACCAGCATTATACCCTTTATGCACCACGGTCCTCCTGTATCCTCCGCCCTGTTCCTGTTAACCCCATCCCCCACCGGTACACCCCCAGACTGCACTCATCACCATCCCCCCTCTTCATCTAAACTCTATTCCCCACTGACCAGTCACCCGCTGCATGCACCCATACATTCATACATGCATAATCACCCTCATAAGTATGCGTGGACACAAGTATGGACCAAACGCATGTGAGCATAAATACATACACATGCATGCATACCAATGATTTCTGCACTTTCTCTGACAAAGAATTGAAAAATCACACAGGGTAGACGCTCTATAGTTTGTTTACTGGTTGCATAACATTTGTGAGGAGGATGAGATGCAAAGCCACGCTGCCTCTCGCCTCGCCTCTGAAGTTGACAGCAGTGGAGGCAACAAAAGAAGTCTGCCTTGAAATCTCAAAGTCAGATTTGTGCCCACTCTGACATGGAGCAGCTGTTTAATCCTCATTCTGATTATAGCAGATATCACCCAGTTTCCATCTATCCGCGTTACCTTCAAAGTTCAGCATGTCCGCTTGACTTTCTTCTTCATCCTTGGATATGATAACGATCTATTTCATCCGTGTTCATGAATTTAACATCTAGACCTGCAGGGAGGCATCTCACACCGCCACATAGAGCTCAAAGTGTTCTATTGTTTTCCTGTGTGATGCGGAGTCAGCAACAAACTGTGAGCCTCCTCGCTTTGTGTTCTTTTACCTAATAAATCCGCACAACTCCTTCAGAGGCAAACTCAGTTTTGAAACTGCTGGCGCTCCTCCACACCCCCTGTAGTCATAGTTAATTTCTTTATTCCAAAGCCTTTCAGTGGAGACAGCCTCCTCTGCTGCAGCGTTGAGTGTAACCAAAGTCCTGCCAACACACCAAGCTCTATATATGCTAAAAGTAACTCTGCACCCTTGATGAATGCTTATTTAACGCTTTATTCAGCAGTGTTTAAACCTCAGCTGCTTTTTGCTCAGTAACATGTGACACCAGCTGAGGACAGAGTAAAACCACAAGTGCAAATCCAGTGTGCAACTATCTTTTATTTATATTGTTGGACAGGATATGGTCTGTTAATTTGGACGTTCTCTACTTTCCTGCACAGTCTGTAAATTGATTATTTTTGGCTTCCAACCATATTGTTGCTTCTCTATAGAACTTCTTGTTGTGTTCCTGGTACGAGATCTTGTCCACTGAAAGGCACCATTGTCTTTTTCATGTCTTGGCAATAGTCACAACTGCTCACTAAACTGATTTTCTGCTTTGAAGTGCTTCAGGTGTTGCCGTGGATACAATAACGTGAGAATCAAGCTAATGGTAGTTGAATGCAAGTGGGCCTCACATTATGGGATTCGATTTTTGTGTTGCTTATCCAGCCTTTAGCGTTTTTGAACAAGTTTCGTATTCCACCGTTGTTTTTCCTACTCCTCAATCATCAAACGTCACCTTCTCTCTTCTCTTCTCTCCTCTGTCATGTCAGCAACCAACAAAAACTAAATCCTTGGTGCCACGTTGTGAGTCTGTTTCCTTTGGCACTCATGGGTGACTGGAGATCTTCAGTCAGCTCTACTTTCTGAGTACTTATGGATCTGCTGTTATTGCTCTGGCAAGTTGTTCTGCTTCTAGCTGTGTGGACACTACCCAGCCAGGCTAGTTGACATCAATATCTTATAACATGTGAAGTAATGTGATGTAAGCTTACTGAGATTTACTTGTAAGTGCAGAAAAATGAATACAGTAATACAGGAGTTTCTGCTTTGTGTCATAAAGGATTCGGGAAAAGAGAAAGACCCGTCATCTTTTTGTGTTTTGTGACTTATCAGTGTTGAAAACATGCCTTGGTGTACGCGCATGTATTTCCCCCCGCAGTCTTTGCCTCCGCTTGTCTGTGTTATGTGAAGGGATGTGTTTGACAGCGGGGAAGTGGGGGGTTGTTGATGATGTGGAAAAACAAAGAGTGCGATAAAAAAAGAGTGAAGTTGAAGTGGGAAAAGAACTAATTTTGACCTGCAGGGTGAGTGAGGAAGGTTGTTTGTGCTCCTATCAAATTGTCTCCACGGCTGTTGACAACTGTACACAGCGTGGAAGGGATTATGCCTTTATCTCTCCACGCAATGAGGCATGTTTTCCATTGGGTCTGTGGTCAATTTATGTTCTGTTAACTCACTTACTTGCAGTTCACATAATCATGATAGAGCCTTAATTAGTGTATCAATATTTAATAGCCTGGATAAGGAAAAACTTTTGGTAAAACTAGAACGAGTCGTTAAAGCCTGAATTCTCAATTTTAATTTCAAAGAAGAAAAAAACATTATTGGACAGAGTTGTGGGAGCAGCTTCTGGATGATGGGTGTTTTCTGTGGTAGTGGTTAACTGACCTTTTTAAGCTGACCTTGCTAATAAAGTGTTGTGCTGTCAACTTTTGTGATGCTACTGAGAGCACATGATAAATCGCCCTGTGTAGTGTACGGACGTTGATATAAGGTTGGTTTTCTCCCATTTTCCAACAAGCTCACATAGCATTGGTTTTGTACTGTAGCAATGTAAGACATCTGTCCCCTAACAACACTGCTGTTAAGTCTGTATTTTTCTCTAAAAGTCAAAGCTAGTAAGCCTGACTAGCTTAGCTTAGATTGGTGATGTTAGTGGGCTTAGCATTAGCTGTTTTTTTAGGTCCAGATGTGATGATCTCAAAAGACCAGATTGTCAAATCTCATTCAAAAATAAAA